CATAGAAAATATAATGAGGGCGCACATATATATATATATATATATATATATATATATATATATATATATATATATGAAGAGCTGATTTTCAAAATGTCATAGGCCTATATCCATTTTTGGGGTTTTAAGATATTCAACATTTTACAAAAAATTACAAATTGCTTTTAGAAAATTAAATCTTTTTTAACCAGAATAAAATAGGAATATAATGTGTAAATAAAAATTAACATAATTAAAGTAGGGTGACCATATCATGAACTGGAGAAAACGGGACACTCCCAATTTGGATTTGGGTTGGGGTGGGGGATACCCTCCAGCTAAAAAGGGGTCCGGGGGCCTCCGCCGGAAACTGTTTAAATGTGCTCATTTTAACTATTTTGAGACCTAGAAATCTTTTTAAATTTACCTTCACTTTTGCAATTTAATTTAAACTTTGAGACATATCATAAACGAAAACAATAATTTTGCAGTGAATACTTAAACTATTTATTTATACATATTTTTACAACATAATAAGTTAATAAGATCTATGGCAGCGACACTGTCGTTTACGCAGCGTCGGCAGAGTGGTGGAGGGGGGGGGAGTGCAGCCATCACGCGAGTCCACATCATTACTGGCACTGGATACACAGCTTGCCAAAATATTACTTGAATTTATATTATAAATTAGGAAGTTTTAGTGATTTGAAAATGTGTTTGGTTTTAGAAACGGGACATTTATGTGTCCCGAGAGACTTTTTCGGGGCACCGGGTACGATCATGAAAAAACTGGACAATCCCGTTTTTACGGGACATTTGGTCACCCTAAATTAAAGGAACCTGGTTTGCTTTACAAAAAGGTAAGGCTTTTTGGTGTGTGTGTTTTTTTTTAATGGTGGATACCGCGTTTTTAAAGAACTCTTGCATTGCTAAGAGTAACTTAAATTTACATAAGTCATTATTTTTAAACTTTGACTCTAAATAACGAGCCATTGCATTTGATTTTGGAACATTTTGTGGCGTAGACATTGTTTTGTTTTTTTGTTTTTTTCAAAATTAAACGCTAACCTAAGCTTGCTACGTTATTTTTAAAAAAATACATTACAACTTATGAGTTTACCTTTTAAAAAATGTATTAGTAAATATTTTCTTTTTTGTTACCAACGTTATTATTTTGGTTTGCTAATGAA